TCGCACTGTAAGAAAAGCTGCAGGTCATCTATCCAGACGTCAAAGTCAATGGCCCGACCCTCAGCGTCAAAAGCGAGGACACTAGGGGTAGCCATGACAGCAGTAGACTAGCAGCGCAAACAGTGGGGTGAGGGCAGTGCTGTGAGAGAGGCGCTGCTCTTACCGGACAGGGCGGCTCGGGCGGCTCGGCTGCAGGGCGGCTCGGCGGCTGGGCGGCTCAGCGGCTCGGCTGCTGGGCGGCTCGGCAGCTCTGCTGCTGGGCGGCTCGGCTGCTGGGCGGCTCGGCGGCTCGGCTGCTGGGCGGCTCGGTGGCTCAGCTGCTGGGCGGCTAGGCTGCTGGGCGGCTCGGCGGGGCCGCTGAGAGGGCGGCGTCCGGGGCCGCTGGGAGGAGGCGGCGGGGCCGCTGAGAGGAGGCGGCGTGGCCGGAAAGGTAGGTGGCGGGGCCGCGTCAGGGGCCGCGACAGGGGCCGCGTCAGGGGCCGCGTCAGGGGCCGCGGCAGGGGCCGCGTCAGGGGCCGCGGCAGGGCCGCGTCAGGGCGCCGCGTCAGGGGCCGCGTCAGGGCGCCGCCAGGGGCCGCGGCAGGGCCGCGTCAGGGCCGCGTCAGGGGCCGCTTCAGGGCCGCGGCAGGGGCCGTAGCAGGCCGCGTCAGGGCCGCGTCAGGGGCCGCGGCAGGGCCGCGTCAGGGCCGCAGCAGGGGCCGCGTCAGGGCGCCGCGTCAGGGGCCGCGTCAGGGCGCCGCCAGGGGCCGCGGCAGGGCCGCGTCAGGGCCGCGTCAGGGCCGCGGCAGAGCCGCATCAGGGCCGCGTCAGGGGCCGCTTCAGGGCCGCGGCAGGGGCCGCGGCAGGCCGCGTCAGGGCCGCGTCAGGGGCCGCGGCAGGGCCGCGTCAGGGGCCGCGGCAGGGCCGCGTCAGGGCCGCAGCAGGGGCCGCGTCAGGGCGCCGCGTCAGGGGCCGCGTCAGGGCGCCGCCAGGGGCCGCGGCAGGGCCGCGTCAGGGCCGCGTCAGGGCCGCGGCAGAGCCGCGTCAGGGCCGCGTCAGGGGCCGCTTCAGGGCCGCGGCAGGGGCCGCGGCAGGCCGCGTCAGGGCCGCGTCAGGGCGCAATGTGCGCGGGCAGCTAAAAAAAAAATTCTTATGGTGGGCCCTTAGGAAGGAACGGTCCCATGTAGGAACCCGCTCTATACCATGTGAATCAAGAAAACAGGAATGAAATGACTAAGTGAAAGTTGGGTACAAAAGGCAAACCCTAGGCAACTGTACCCCATATGTGCTACCCCACTATAGCCTACAGTAGCTATGTCATATAACTCTGACACAGCAGGAGCAACAGCAGCTCCTGCTGCTGCTGCAGCAGCAGCCGCCCCTTTTGCAGTAGTTGTTCCCACCAGTGAGTGGCCTTCGGGTCCTTGGGCTTCCCTCCTCTTCTCCTGTCCGCTCACAGTCTCCTACCGCCTACGGTCTTACGTTTCCTCCTCTGGACTCGGCTCCGGCTGTTTTCTCTCCTCCTCGGTCACAATCGCCTCCTCCTGTTTTCCCGCACAACTGGACCACTCGTTGTCCTCCGCGTGCTCGTCCCTCGTCTCCTTGTGACGACCAACGCACTGTCTTGTTTCGTTCTAGTCCTCGTCGTGCTTCGTCTGTGTCTGTTCTCCCGCCACCTCCTGCGTTGTCTCTCACTGTCTCCTCTCACCCTATTACTGACTACTACCGTGCTGCTCGTCCTGTTGTCTCGCGTGTTCTCGCCTCTCTTGTCACCGACCCTCATGCCTCTCCGCCGTCTGTCTCGGCTCTTACTGCCGCTGTCGCTGACTTTGCTGCCACCCGCCGCCTTGACTTCACCACGCGTGTAGTGGCTGCTCCACCTGCCCGTCCTCTGTCCGCCGGGGGTGAGGTTGCCCTTGGCTGTGACGTCCTAGAGGACAGGCAGTTTGAGCTAGAGTTCTTGGCAGCCGCTTCTCCCTCTCTCTGCTCCCTCTCTCTGTGCCATGCTGATTTCCCCTGAGGGATACCCCGACGCCCTTGACATTCTGACTCCTCGCACGTACCGTGAGATAGTGTCAGGGCAGTGGGCCTCTCAGTGGAAAGCAGCCATGGACGCAGATATGGCGCCTTGGAGATCCACAGGCACCTACGTCGACGCAGTTCCCCTTCCTAGGGCGAACGTAGTCGACAGCATGTGGATCTTCAAGGTGAAGTGACCGCCTGGATCGCCGCCTGTCTATGGCTAGAGGTTTCAGTCAGCGTGAGGGAGTTGACTCTTTTCAGACCTTCGCCCCGACCCCGAAGATGACGACTCTTCGGGTGTTACTTCACGTAGCAGCATAGCGAGACTACGAGCTGCACTCCCTCGACTTCTCCACAACCTTTCTCCAGGGCAGCCTGCACGAGGAGATCTAGTTGCGTCGTCCTCCTGGCTTCACTGGCACTTTCCTGCCTGGGACCTAGTGGAGCCTGAGACGACCAGTCTACGGTCTCCGCCAGGCGCCCCGTGAGTGGCACGACACGTCGCTGTTTGTTCGCAGAGGCTCCACTCCTTTCTTAATTCCTGTCTAAGTCGACGACTTGGTCTTTGCTACAGCAGACAGGGTTGCTCTGGCTGAGGCAAAGTCCGAACTGCAGAAGAGACACACATGCACTGACCTTGGTGAGCTGTGCCGCTACCTTGGCTTGCAGATCACCAGGGACAGAGCCGCTCGCACCATTACACTCTCACAATCACACATGGTGCAGCAGGTCCTTCAGCGGTTCGGGCTTCAGCACTCCACGACACATCCCACTCCTCTTGCCATTTACCACCGACTCACCGGCCCTTTTCCCGACAAGCCATTTGAGTCTAGTAATCCCTACGTAGAGCTTGTGGGCTGCCTCATGTACCTGATGACTTGTACTTGTCCGGACCTAGCCTTTCCTCCCAGCATCCTCTCTCGCTTTGTTGTGACTAGGAGACACCGTCCAGTTCACTGGACAGCTGCTGTGAGGGTGGCAAAGTACTTGGCGACTACATCAGGCATGGGGCTTATGCTTGGAGGGAGACTGCCAGTTGTTCTGACCGGTCACTGCGACTCTTCCTATGCCGACGACGTGGAGACTCAAAGGTCCACTCAAGGGTACTGCTTCAGCTTGGGAGCTGGAGCTGTGCTGTGTCGTGGAGGTTTACTCGTTCCTTCTCTGTCTCGACCTCTACTACTGAGGCCGAGATATACGCTGGAGCCATGGCTGCACAGGAGCTCCGCTGGTTTACCTTCTTGCTCGCCAACCTTGGTGAGCGGCCTCGTTCTGCACCGACCTTGTTTGCTGACAACAAGGCCATGATTCTCCTGTGTCGATAGCCTCGACTGGAGAGCAGAGCGAAGCACATTGACGTGAGGTACTTTCTCCTGCGAGAGTTGCAGCGACGCGGCCAGGCACGCTTGGACATCGTGGCCTCAGAGGCCAACATTGCAGACATCTTCACCAAGGCCCTAGCGCCTACTGACCACCACAGGTTCTGTCTGTAGTTAGGCCTTGTTGACGCTGGTGCTAGGTTATTGTAGCATTACTTCTTGTTGCTTGCTCTACTTGTCCTTGCATCTATATATATTTGTAAACTCTTGAACTGGCCTTGTGGCCGTTTGCTTGTGCTCGGAATGTGTCATGATCTTGAGATCCACCTTGAGCGTTGTCTTGTTGCTTCTCTTGACTGGTCTTGTGACCATGTGTTTTTGTTGCTCTCTCCTGCTATCCCTCACTTGGGGGTGTGTCAAACATATATATTTGCATGTTCTAGGCTATAGTGATGCATGCATTAGAGAGCATAAGTTGTTAGGGTTTGCATTTGTACCCACCACATTCCCTAATCAATCATTCCGTTGCTAGCTACTCTTAAGAACCACATGGGCTATGCTGTTCGAGGTGACTTCTATGTGAGTCAACATACACATCTCACCTACTCTGGCATCTTAACCAAGTGATTGCTGCCACGTATTGAACAATGGCCTCCAAATGGGGCTCGATTGACTTCTGTGTGAGTCAACACAAAAGGTACCAGGCGGGGCAGCACCCGACAGGTGTACTTTTGAGGCGCCTCAAAACTATACTATTCGAGGTGACTTCTATGTGGGTCAACACAAAAGGTATCAGGCGGGGCAGCACTCGACAGGTGGCAGCTGCAGAAGACTGTGACCAGTTCATCTAGTACCACCCCTAGGCTGGGGGCTTCCTCAACTTCTAGCCAGGATGGAGGTCAACCACGCCAAGGCACCAGGCAACAAGTAGCCTCGACAAGTGAGTTGATTCTGTTGAAAGCTGCCTGCCTGCATGCCCCGTGCTATTCTCCAGTTTATCTAGTACCTGCCCGCCTCGGGCCGGGGCCTTCCTGAAGCATAGAGGCCAGCCACGCGCGTTCATGGCAGCACTCGCTGCGAGTGAGTCTGAGACGCATGGCAGAATCGCCATTTTTCGGTGTGGTTTTTGGCCCATTTTTGCACTATCCTAACGCTGCGCTTTTTCTTCCGTTTCACTTGTGATGCCAATCAGATATGAAGTTTCAATCCAAAACGCATCCTGACCACCACACATCCAATCAAGCGCTTCATTTTTGCTGGCATGCTTCCTGCTGCTGCTTTTTTTTCACAATCCTTCCTCTAGGCCACCCCATCCGTGTATGCTCCGGTGGCAGGCGATTTTGCGAACCTCATAACCTAACTGTAAGCCTGCCTCATCCTTGTGTGTGCGTGCGTGTGTGTGTGTGTTTGTGGCAGGCGATTCTGGTGAGGCGGTTCAACTTCTGGGGGGTGAAAAAGGATTCACGAGGAGACCCAGTATCCGACAGGCTGCAGTGGCGCTGTAGTGAGCCCATGTGGCACACCAAGACGTGGATCGGCTTGCATGACAAGGTGGTTGTTTAACCCCCAAACGATCCTCCCCTGGTAAGTGGGGTGCTTCGTGGCATGCATTCTACCGCTTTCCCTTGAGTGTGAGCAACGTGAGTCGCACTGTCTCCTTTGGCAGTGCAACAAACCCATATGGCACAACGGGCGAACCCATATTGCCCACTTGCCCAATGTTCTCCGCCCCTCTATTCAGCACCAGCATCCCTCTGTTCAGCACTAGCGTCCCTCTGTTAGAACTCATGCCTTAAACGCCCTGCTTTCGTCCCCTTGCCTCGATTCCCACACCCCCCCTCTTCCACCTCCCCATCCCCTCCCTCCCCCCCCACCAGCTCTACATCCATCCACAACACGTTCGCCCCTCTGGACGAAATGGCAACAGCGCCACCTGCCATTACCCCCTTCTAACAACCACACTCCTTCCCCCCTCCGCCCCCTCAACAACTCTATATCCATTCACAACACGTTTGCCCCACCAGATGAAATGGCAACAGCACCCCCGGCCATCCTGCATCTGAACCACTACACGTCCTGGGAGGTGGATCTGAAGGAGCCACCCTGCAACGCCATAGTCAAGCCCATCGAAGACCCCAGCCTCTTCTGGGCTCGCAACCGCACCATGTAGTGCAAAGCGGTGTGGTGCGATGGCAGTGGTGAAACCCCTGTGGAGTGCTGGCCGTTCTGCCAGCTGCCATCGGCGGGTCAGTAGGAATAGATAGCACAATGCCAGGTTGAAGCCAAGCAAGGATGCAAGCCGTACAATGGAGTGCAAGGCGGTGCAGTGTGGTGCGATGCGACTGCTGACGCCCTGTGGAGTGCTGGCCCTTCTGCCAGCTGCCGTGGGTGGGTTAGGAATCAGGGAATCGCACTGCAAGCGAGCAATGCACTGCAAGCAAGAAACGCACGGCAAGCGAGCAACGCACTACAAGCAAGCAACGCACTGCAACGCCACTGTGAGGCTCATAGGGGGAGCAAAACAAGCATATGTCTGCAACAGCAGCACCATCCAGTGCCAAGCAAGGCCTTGCGGTGACTGTGCTCGTGCCGGTGCTGTGCTCGTGCTGGTGCTGTTGACCCTGCGGAATGTTGGTTGTGCGTATGTCAGCCCAAATGCTGTGAGTAGGGCATGGTTTTGAGGCACCTCAAATATGAATTTCTGTATATCAATCTTCCAATGTAATGTTCTTGTTAGAATAAGGATACATTCCAGACTCTGGTCAAACCTCTGGTTATCCGTACCTACGACCCTAAATCGTACCTATTTCTCACCAATTGTGCTAGTTGTCAGGCTGGCTATTGTATTGAATGTGGATATTCATTACTGTAGTCTGTTCCAAACGAGGACATCCAGAAGCCATCATGTCAGTTGGGTTCGGCCAACACTTTCGGCCCGAACCACTTCTGAGTCGCCCCGCACCAATTGCGACACTTCCAAACCTCGCACGTTCTAGGTCCTTGCCTAGCCAAGGTTCGCCCTATATATGCTCGCTATTTTCATTGTATTCTCAGCTTCTGTGATCAAATTTTTGTTATTGAGTCTTCCGCGCACTCTGCCTAGTATGACTCATAACAGCTACTCTAGCTAAGATACTGTAGCATATTTGGATACCGTAGGATAAGTATGTTAAAGTAAGACAGTGAAAGACTTATATCGTATTACCCCGTAATTGATTTTCCTGATTCCTTACTCGGTCACCTTGTACGCATACACCTACCCTCCAGTAAATTTTCCTGATTCCTTACTCAGTCACCTTTCGGAGTTCCAAGCTCGGTCCAATGACCTCGCCCTCCGAACGTCCCTCACGTCGCCTTCGGGTTTCTCAACCCCGACCCTGCACCCAGCCATTCGCGATCCCGTGACCCCGTCCTAGCCAGCCTTCACTGAATATGTGCTAGGCTTCACTATTTCCTGATTCCTTACTCGGTCACCTTGTACGCATACACCTACCCTCCAGTAAATTTTCCTGATTCCTTACTCAGTCACCTTTCGGAGTTCCAAGCTCGGTCCAATGACCTCGCCCTCCGAACGTCCCTCACGTCGCCTTCGGGTTTCTCAACCCCGACCCTGCACCCAGCCATTCGCGATCCCGTGACCCCGTCCTAGCCAGCCTTAACTGAATATGTGCTAGGCTTCACTATTTAGACAGTTGTTGTAATCACTTCCGCGTTATTGCATTCTGCGCACTCTTCTTTCGTACAACTCGTAACACTAGGTATCAAAGCTACTTTCCTAGGTTACCCTCGTGTTTTCGTGGTAGTTTGTGACAGGGGAGCGATAGACTTGGTGGGTTGCAAAGTGGTCGGCCTATGAAATTGATCCGCCTATTTCACTCCGAATACGATAGAGTTTGGGCCTTCATCCTGGAAAATTGCTAACCGCCCCCAGTCCGTTCGACGAAGCCTGGGAAACATGGACCACGCTGCGCTAGACAACATGCTACAACAGTTCCCAAATATGCAAGCAAGCATGCAGACACTGACAACAGAGGTCGAGCGGCTGTGCGGAGAAAGCACCAAGCTACGCTAGGCGCGTGGTGAAAATTCAAGACAATTTCTTCAGCAACGGTTGATGTAAATGTTGGCCTTCTCCCCTGGTGCCATTTTTGTCTCTAGTAGCCGTTGGAGCAGACGGCTTAAAGACACTGAGTCCTTGGGTTGATACACCCCATTGAGGTGTCGCTAGGCTTCAAGGGCTGGGGCATGCGATGTTTTGTAGGAACGAATTCCTAGCTGCTCCGCCGGCGACATGTTGCGGAGAAGCACGTCGTGCGCCAAGAATGTTTACTTTAATATTGTGCTCTAGCGTCGTCGGTGTCGGCCGTGGGTCCGCCGTAGCTCTCGTCGAAATAGTGAAAGATCTGTGGGTTTTGCAGCAGTAGCTCCAGCTTGAAGCTCCAGGTATAGAAATCTCTACTGTCAAAGCAGGCACTTGTCTTTATTGTTGATATGCTCAAACCCTTGTTTGAGCTGAGAGAATTGCCTCATCGCTGGGATGGGGAGTCTTGGGTATTGAGCCATTTGTTTAGAGGGAGAAGGTGTGCGGGGCAGTATTACGGCTATTCAAGGCCGGTTGAGAGGGTTGGGAAGATGTTCCCACGTCGTCGTCGCCTCGTTTGTCGCAGCTGGGTTGGATTGCGTTTCAGCGGTCATTTTTACGCGTGAGCCAGTGCCGGACACTACCGTTGTTCGCCAAGGATTTTGGAGGGTGACTTTGTGAAGGATTCCTATGTCGCTCTCATACCATGTTGCAATCAAGAAGTCGATATTTGCCTAGGATCACCTTAGGAAGTTTCGCAGAGTCAGAGTGTTGCAGCGGAAGAAAGTAACCTCAGATCAGCGTGAATTTAAAATGACTGAGATAATAAAAACATGCAAATACAACAGTTTATATAAGAGTACAGGGGGATACGAAGTGTCCTAGACTAGCCATGTACTCTAAAGGGTACATTCCCATATTCCAGTTCAAACCCAACCGTGCAGCGCGGAACAGTTACGAAACTGTTCCCGCCAAAACCCTCGCTCGTGCAACTGCCCAATGTTGTCTGCTCCAACGGTCCAAATGCTTTTGTAACTGTCTGTATCGCTTTGACGGTTCGCACTCGCTTAGGTTTCAATGCGGTTTGGTACAGACTTATAACGTTGCAGAGTATTGTAAAAATGTATAGATGGGTAGTTTCAAATAAAAAAGTGACAGTTATGACACACCCGGGGTGTGGGCCCTGGTGTCATGAAAGCCTCGATGAGTCACGAAAGCCTCGATGAGTCGCGAAAATGTTCCGGTACATATGAAACGAAGCTCGGATTCTGTTCTCACAGCCAACACCGTGAGTTCGGGAGGATGTTTCTAATCTGAACTGAACACGTACCGCATTCCTAAACGGAAGGCGCCCTCACAATTCTGCTTAGTAATTCAAGATTTAGACTTGTTTCATGTAACTGTAGTCGTTCAAAAGGATCAATCTCTATCGTTTTAAAAACTGTTATTCTACAACGGGGTTTAGAGCGTATCTGTAGGTTCTAGAAAGGAGAAACTGGTAACCAAGCTGCGATTTGCTTGTGAACTATGAGGATGCAGCTACTAACGAGTACGAGGAAAGCAGCAGCAGTAGTAGCAGGAGTATGGGCATGGGAGCGGTGAGCATCTGCCTGCGCCTAGTGCACAAGCGCCAGATGTTTTCAGACAACGTTGCTGTATTCGGCGTGCGATTGCTCGAGTGGATCGGTGCGTGTTCTTCTGCCAGGGGCACTACGATGCCAAGGCAAACAAGCCCCACGCGGTGAATGCCCCGTCATTGCTGTGTGTGCGTGCGTGCGTGTATAGCAGCCGCATCTGGCTCCCCTCAGCCAGTTCCCTAACACCTATGGTCGGTTGATAGTGTTTGAGAGCTTCATGATGCTAGTGACTTGATTCGACCTCTCTTCTGCTTCCCTCCTGTCAGAATGTGTAGTTTCTCTAGCCTGGAGTGGGGTACTCTGTAGTGAGTATGACCCCTTAGGGTTTCCTATATGTATCCACCTGCTTGCTATTGAACACCCCCCTTTGCTCATTTCTCGCTTGCCTAGCTAGGTAAACCCTAGCTATGGCTCCTTACTCTCGCTACTCTTCTGACACCTCCTCCGCGTCCTTCTTATGCCTTCCTCCAGACAGTTCCCAGGCATATACGACTAGGTGATGCTGGGGCGGAGGTGCCTTTTAAGCCGACTCAAGAGTCCTTTCATTCCTCTTCTGCCTCCCACTTGTGCCTCCCGCTTGCACCTCTCTTCTGCCTCTCGCTTGTGCCCCCCTCTTGCACCTCTCTTCTACTTCCCACTTGTGCCTCCCTCCAGCCAGTTTCCGAACATATACGATCTGGTGATAGCGTTCGAGCACTGCACAATGCTGGGGCGGAGGTGACTAAGATCAACGTATAAATCACCTCGAAGCACCATCACCCCCTCATCCTGCCCCGCCCACCCTTCCCCAGCCAGTTCCCAGACATATATGATCAGGTGATAGCGTTCGAGCACTGCATGATACTGGCCATTTCAATCTACTCATCCCACCCCTTCCATTCATGGTTCCACCCTCCCTCTTGCGCCTCCTTCATGTTCTCCCATCTTGCACTCCCCCCAGCCAGTTCCCAGACATATACGACCAAGTAATAGCGTTTGAGCACTGCATGATGCTGGGAAGGGGGTTCGGAGACAGGTGGCATCTACAGATTGTATTTTGGAGGCCCCTATAAACAACACCTCCCTCTTCCACTTCCCCCCCTCTTCCGCCTCCCTCTTTCTTCCCCCCTCGTTTGCCACCCTCCCTCATTACCCCCCTCCCTAGCCAGCTCCCAGACATAAACGATCAAGTAATAGCGTTTGACCACTGCATGATGCTGGGACGGAGGCTCTCCCCTCCACCCACTCATGGTGCTGCCTCCTGTTCTCCTCTGCTGTGCCTCCCTCTTAAGCCTCTCTCGTGCCCCCTCTTCTGCCACCCCAGCCAGTTCCTAGACATACACGACCAAGTAATAGCGTCGAGCACTGCATGATGTTGGGGCGGAGATTCGGTGACAAGTGGCAGCTGCAGATAGACAGCGACGAGTTCATCTGGTACCACCCCCGGGCCGGGGCATTTCTTAAGCCATTTCCAACGCGGATAGAGGTCAACCACACACGGGTACCAGGCAGCAAGCAAAGCAACCCGTCCGGGTGAGAGTGAAGCACATAACAGGAGCCTTGTGGGTCACTCGACAGGTGGCAGCTGCATATAGGCAGCGATGAGTTCGTCTGGTACGAGCCCAAGGCTGGGTGAAATTCACTTTTGAGAATACCCACAGGCAGGTGCAAATAGGCAGTGATGAGTTCATCTGGTACGAGCCCAAGGCTGGGTGAAAATCACATTTGAGAATACTCACAAGCAGGTGCAGATAGGCAGCGATGAGTTCATCTGGTACGAGCTTAAGGCTGGGGGATTCCTCAAGCCGCTGCTAGCGAGGATAGAGGTCAACCACACCCGTGCTCCAGGCAGCAGCCAGCCACTCCAGGTGAGTGAGACATATTACAAGTGCCTGCATGGAATCGGCTATGTTGTTCGAGGTGATGTGTGAGTCGACTCAAAAGTCGATCGTCGTCATCTCCTCGTTTGTCGCAACCCGGTTGGCTTGTGTTTCAGCGGTCAGATTTGTCTGACCTCCCGATCCTCCGGCCATTCTTATGCGCGAGTGTGGGTCGGACGCCACTTTAGTTCACCGAAGATTTTGGTGGTGGCGTTGCGAAGGCTTTCCGAGTCGCTCTCATACCATGTTGCGGTAAGAAGTTAGATCGTAACCAGGATCACCTCAGGAAGGTTCGCACAGAGTGTGTGGTAGTGGTGGTGGGCCCTTGACCTCAAATCAGAGTGAATGTAAAATGATTGAGATGATTAAAACATGCAAATACAATCGTATAAATATGAGTACAAGGGGAATACCAAACGTCATAGCTAGCCATGTACTCTAAGGGGTACATTCCCTTTATTCGAATGCGTGCCAATCGTGCGGCGCGTATGGTTACGAAACGGTTCCCGCCAATTCCCTTGCTCCTGCAGCTGCCCAATGTCTTCTGCTCCGACGGTCCAGTGTCAAAACATATTTATATGTTGTTAGCTCTGCTAGGCTACAGTGAGGTGCTCAGTATAGAGTACAACCCTAATTAGGGTTTCATACTTGTATCTCATCCTTGCTAGTCCTACCTCTTTCCTGCACAGTTAAGTCTCGACCTCCAGATGCTTCGCAACTGTACGTGTCGCTTTTGACTTTTCGCCTTCATTCTCTCTTCCGTGTTCTTCGCTTCTTGCTACAGGTAGTAATGCACATTGTAGCTTCCTTGTTCACTATTCGTAACAGTAGTCTGACTTTAACCTCTCTGCGGCAACAATCACGCAGCTACACAGTATCGCAAAACCCTCTAACTAATCCTCGTCGTGGCCTTGAAGGTGGGGTGCGGCATTTAGGCGGGTGGAACTTCCGCTCGTGGAGCAGAGGATGTTGGCTTGGCCTCACGGGGCCCCTTACTAATGGCCAGCTGCTCGTTGCGCCACCTAATGTAGAGTAATCCATTAATAGGGTGTTTTTTATGTGGTAGATGGGTCAGCACTAAAACAACCATGCTGTACTGGGGCTTTAATCCATGTGCTTGGCTTCCAGGAAGATGCATATCTCTTGTTATCTAAGCCCACACAAGGCCTGAAAACTTCTTCAAGTAGGCAAAGAAGTTTTACAACATGGGATATGAGAGCCTCCAAGTGACAAATTAAGTATAGTAGTCTTTCTAGTGGCATTTACATGGAAGTGCAATAAAGCATAACAGAAACCTTAAGGGGCACCACCAGCTCTTTTCACCTCTTTCCACCCTTGCCACCCTTTCCCCCTTTTCCACCCTTGCCATCCTTTCCTCCCTTTCCCCCCTTGCCACCCACATTGATCTTTGTGCCCGTTCCTACAATCTGAGGAGTTGCAATCCCGCCAGATCCCCCTTGCTCCCCGCCAGCACCCCCATGATCCCCGCCAGCACCCACCTGATCCCCGCCAGCACCCACCTGATCTTCGCCAGCACCCACCTGATCCCCGCCAGCAACCCCTTGGTCTCCCTTAACACCCCCTTGCTCCCCGCCACCACCCCCCTGATCCCCGCCAGCACCCCCCTGATCCCCGTCAACGCCTCCTTGATTCCCTCCAACACCCCCCTGCTCTCCGCCAAGACCCCCTGCTGTCCGCCGCCGCCCTCCTGCTGTCCGCTAGGACCACCCTGCCGTCCACCGGGTTCCCCCTGTTCCCCGCCGGGAACGCCCGAACCTCCGCCGGGAACGGATATTTCTCCCCCAGCATCACCGCTGCCTGTGATTCCGCCCAGATGTGCGCCATCGCCGCGGCTCAAATTGTCAGCAGTCAGAAGGATTGATTTGTCCGGCGCCACATTTAGGAAAGAGTGGATTCTCAGAGTGATACCGTGGCTTAGAGCGAAGATTTTCCTCGCGGAGACTGCGCAGATAGAAAATACTCGTCCATTAGATCCGCCATATCGGATCCGTCGGATTGGTTAAAGTCAAAGATTGGGCAGAACGGATGCCAAACGAAAATGCGTTTAAGAACGCACGAAACATTCAAGGGAAGAAAAATGACCGAATTAAATAGTAGAGGGGCAAAGGAAGTTCGAAATGAGGAGCAAATCTGAGCAGAGGCGAAAGCTTGGCAAGTGAAGGACTCACCAGGCGGTGCAAACACCGACGCCGCGAAAAGCGCGAGCAGAAGTAGAGGCAACCTGATGCCTCGCGTTACGCAACTTACATAAGTAAAAAAAATAGATGAAATTAAATTAGCCGGAAATTGTGAGTGACAAAAGCTCCACAGCGAGTCCATCGCATATGTTTACAGTACATCCGTCGCGGCGCAAGACGGTGACGGTGCACGGCGATTATCAAGCTTCACCGCTTTGCACCGTTACGCATCGAGATTAAACGCACGTAGAGAACAAGGGTTGAACGCGCTGGACGCGGCCTAAGCGCGAGAAGGCTCTGGTAACGAATTGGTTCGAAATGCAAGGTGATGAAATGTCTGGTAAAAGGTTGAGGAGGATCACTAAATCAATCCCACCGACGAGTGCATTTTTATTGTGGGTGGTGGTGCGAACGCGGTTTGAAAGGCATAATGTCGTGGTGGGAGGGGAGGATGCAATGTAGGACGACTGGTTTCGCTGTATTTGTTTTTCGCGCCATGTCAAATCCGTAGCTTGCGCCGAGCTCATGTTTCGCAGGTGATTTTCGCGACAGGGGAAGTGGAGACTGTCATTCTTACGACGGGTAACATTCCAATCTGCGACGCCAAAAATTGTTCGTAAATGACCTTCTGACTGTTACGCACAACCTGCGATTTGGGTAATGGGAAAGCGACTGATGAGGCAGCCCGCTAAACGCGCAACCATTTACCAGCAAATCACATGCGGTGATGAGACCTTCAATTTGACAATTATATTTGTATGTTCCATGTATAGAATGTTTTATTGCTGAAGCCATTGTTATGCTTAACAAATTCCAAAGGTAGCACATTTCGGCTGGGACTATGCAATGCGAAACTGGTTCTTACCGCAAAAATCCCAAAGCAAGAGCAACCCTAAACATGAAAAATCTTCACCACTTCTCGAATGGAAGCTCGGCACACAGGGCAGCCCCAGCCCTTGGATCTAACCTCAGTGAGACACTCCACACACCCCGCCACATGCCCGCAAGGCACACACACCGCCTGCGCTGCTGAGTCTTAACAAATCACACACTGACCCTCTCTAGACGCCCCTCCTCCTGCTGCTGCTGCTGCTGCTGCTGATGATGATGATGATGATGATGATGATGATGATGATGATGATGATGATGATGATGATCATGATCATGATCATGATGATGATGATGATGATGATGATGATGATGATGATGATGATGATGATGATGATGATGATGATGATGATGATGATGATGATGATGATGATGATGATGATGATGATGATGATGATGATGGTGCCCCTCCTGTTGTTGCTACTCCTGCCTCTGCCTCTGCCCCTGCTTCTGCTCCTGTTGCTGCTGCTCCTGCTTCTTCTCCTGCTCCTGCTCCTGCTCCTGCTCCTTCTCCTGCTCCTGCTCCTGCTCCTGCTCCTGCTCCTGCTCCTGCTCCTGCTCCTGCTCCTGCTCCTGCTCCTGCTCCTGCTCCTGCTCCTGCTCCTGCTCCTGCTCCTGCTCCTGCTCCTGCTCCTGCTCCTGCTCTTGCTCCTGCTCCTGCTCCTGTCACTGTTCCTACTGCCCCATCTCCAGCTACAGCCGCTCCTGCTGCTCCTCGCCCTAGGCTCGCCTGTGCCCTGGCGAGTTCTGCCCACACCCTCACAGGGTTGTAGCTCGGATGTAGCTCTGCCACAGATGCTGCACCTGCTGTTCCCGATGCCACTGCTGCTCCTGCTGCACTTGACGCTCGCCTTTGACTCGCCTGTGCCCTGGCGAGTTCTGCCTGCACCCTCTCAGGGTTGTAGCTCGGATGCAGCTCCGCTACAGATGCTGCACCTGGCGAAGGAAGGCCGGTAGGATAAGCTACAGACGCTGCAGCAGGGGATGGGACGTTAGCAGGTGCATGGGGATAGTAGTTGGGTGGTTGTGCCTGCGGGTGGATGTGAGGGGTTGGGTTTCGCCTGGGGCTGTTGGAAGGGGAGAATTGGATGAGCGGAGGGTCGAAGAAGGGAGCACGGTGACCGGTGGTTCGCTGCCATGCTGTCGCGGCCGCAGCGGCCGCTGCTGAGGTTAACACCCCTGCTGTTGTTGCGATCGCCTCAGCAGCCACTGCTGCTCTAGCAGGAAAATCCGGAGCTGCTTCTGCTGGTGCCGCTGGTGGTGCTGCCGCTGGCTGGCCTGTCACGGCTGCTCTTGGCGCTCTCCCTGCTCCCACTGATGCTCCTGATGTGGAAGCAGGACCATCTGCAGGGGGTGCTGACGGTGGGCCGGAAGCAAAGAGCGATGGCACGGCTGCTGCTGCTCGGTTGAAAGCCGGTGCTACAGAGGAGAACTGATTCGCAATCTCGTGGCGCATTCGACCCCCTTCCACCCCTGCCGCAGCAGTGCCAGCCGTACCTGCTGAGCTGGCTGCATGGCCAGAAGCAGGACCAACAGCAATGCCAGAAGAAGTGCTGGTGGCAGTAGAGGAAGAGCGGTCAGGGGCAGCAGGTGGGGCAAAGGGGTGGCGGTCAGCAAAGGCTGAAACGGACCTAGAAGAACGATGCGACGCAGTGAATGGGTCGGTGGCCGCAGCAGCAGAAGCAGCAGTAGCAGCGTAAGAAGAAGAGGAGGAGAGGGAGCGACCAGATCTGGACTGAGGCTCGGAGGAGGAACGGGTGAGAATAAAGCCGTCTGCTCCCTCCTCTCCTCTGCTCATGCCCTGGGCGGCAGCGGCGGCACTAGATGCACCAGGGGCATCGGCTCGGGCAGAGCCTTCAGTGCTGGCAGTGTGCATCGACTCAGAGAGCGCCAGCTGGAACGACGTGTCCTCGTCCACGTCATCCTGCCACGCGTGCACGTTCACCACGCCCCTGGATTCCCCTCCGCTCTGCTGACCCCCTCTCCGTGATCCTGACGCCCCCCCTCCTACTCCTGCTGCTCCTGATCCCCCCAGCTGCTGCTGTTGCTGCTGCTGCTGATACTGCTGCCATGCCTGCTGCTGTGTGTAATAGGCCACAGCATACGCATCATAAGCCGCAGCAGCAGCAGTAGGAGCAGCATAAGGGGAAGCAGCAGGAGCGGCAGGAGGTTGGGGGTACTTGGTGGGGTGCATCTGTGGTGGGGGATGGTGAATGGAGGAGGGGGCAGTGTGAGAGCGAGATGCAGGGAGTTGGGTTGCTGGTGGTGGTGCATGTGACTGTTGGGTGCGGGGAGAGGATGCCACATGCTGAGGTGTCGGATGCTGATTGGCTGACTGAGTGCGAGCCTGCATGGGGGTAGAGATGGGAGGGTGCGAGAATGGGAGGGATTGAGGCTTGAGAATGTGGTTTGGAAACGTCGATGTGAGGGATTAGGTGAAAGGGCACGCCCACGTGCTCGTGTGTGGGAAGAGTGAAAGGGGAGAGAATGTTGGGAGGGCAGGGGAGAGAAGGGTGAGAAAGGAGAGAAGAATGAGAGAGCAGAGAAATGAGAGGAGATGGAGGGATAGGAAGAGGAGTGAGAGGAAAGAGAGGAGAGAGAGGCGAGAGGGAGTGAGGGTGGAGAGAGGAGGGAGGGGAGAGAGGATGCAAGCAGAGAGAGGAGGGAGGAGAGAGAGGATGCGAGCTGAGAGAGTAGGGAGGGGAGAGAGGGAAGCAAGAAGTCACCCGTGCCATTCCCCGGCACGCGTCATGAAGGCGGAATATCTGAGAAGGGAGAGGAGAAGTGAGAAGAGTGGAGAAGAGGGAAGATTGAGAAAGGAGGGAAGTGTGAGAGGGAGGGAAGAGTGTGAGGGAATAAGAAAAATTACCCGTGGTGTTCCCCGGCAGGCGTCGTGCAGGCAGAATATCTGCGAAGGGTCGGGTGAACCTTTGAGTCAACTCAACAGTGACATAGAGGGTGAGAGGAGAGAAAAGAGAGCGGAGGGAGAGAAGAGTCACCCGTGGCGTTCCCCGGCAGGCGTCGTGCAGGCGGAATATCTGGGAGGGGTCGGGTGAATCCTTGTCACTCACAAACTTCCACTTGCCCTTCTCCGCTGGAGTGGAGGGACGCATGCACACATGCACACATGCATGCAGGCATGCAGGCATGCAGTCACACATATATGCATGAATGATCAATTTACCCACATGTGGACATGTGGGATTGGAAACATGCATGCATGTGCCCGCATGCAAACACACTTGGGCACATGCATGCATGTACATGTGCGCACATGTGCGTGAACATGCAGGCAGATGGGCACACCAATGCGCACATTAGATGCACATGAGATGAACGTGTATGGATGGAGAGGCATAGGCATAGAGTGCAACAAATACACAGCACACAGCATACAGAAAGCAGATATATGGGAAGTAATGAGACGTCTCAAAACTCAGACGCACAGAGCAACACAGCAACGCAGCGACGCAAGATGAGAACTCAGTGCCAGGTATCCCCCCAGAAAAAATCATTAAGTTAAGATCACAAATAAGCCACACTGTGTTGGCAAAGAGTAGAATGAGAGAAGGAGGTGCCGTACCATGAACGGGGTCCTCTATAATGAGTACAGGGTTGGCAGAGTCCAGCTTGGTCATATGAATGCGGCACACATGCAGCGCTATGTCGAAATAGGGTGCGCCAAACTGCAGGAGGTAGTGACGGGGAAGGACGGGGGGCGAAGGCAGAGAGAGAAAGGCGCGTGGGGGAGAGAGAGAAGGGGAGTCCAGCTTGGTCATGTGAATGCGGCACACGTGCAGTGCTATGTCGAAATAGGACGCTCCAAACTGCAGGAAGTTGGGGGGGGGGAGGAGGGGGAGAGAGAAAGGCACAAAGGGGTTGAGATGAATAAAAAGTGCACTCAGCCATGCATGCACTCACAGCCATGCATACACTCACAGCCATGCATGCTCTCACAGTCATGCATGCACTCACAGCCATGCATGCACTCACAGCCATGCATGCACTCACAGCCATGCATGCACTCACAGCCATGCATGCACTCACAGCCATGCATGCACTCACAGCCATGGATGGGTAGAGCGCGAGGCGGAATGTCTGGCGCCCATCATTCATGGTGGGCCCTGGAACCACTGCCACCCAGCTGCAGAGGCATGGGCGGAGAGCGGTGGATAGGGATGGGGAGGGGTGGAGAGTGGTGGAAGGGGTGGAGAGGGGTGGAGAACGGTGACATTCATCACTGTCCGGATTGGTTACATCCATCAACTTCCACCCTCCAAAACGGTAACACCCTTCTACTCACCCTCTCCTGTGCACCCATTGAAATCAGGACCAAATGCAACTCACACTCTCCGGTACACCCATTGCGGGATAAAGGCTTTCACTAGCGACGGCGCTGAGAGGGTCTGCTGGCGCACGTAGCCCTCGAACAACGCCACCCGGCTCTGATGGGGCAAGACGAGAGGAGGGAAGGGAGAAGAGGGCGACGAGGGAGGCAGCCAGGAGCTGAGTCCTAACGGCACTGAGAGGGTCTGCTGGCGGCGCACGTAGCCGCTCGGCTCGGCTCTGATGGGAGGAAAAAAGAGGGGGGGAAATTGTGGGGTGAGAGGATGTAGTGTAACGAGGGAGATAAGTGCGAGGAGAAGAGTGTCACGGCACTGAGAGGGTCTGCTGAGGGATTGCTGGCGCAAGCAATCTTTTCCTCCACACCTCCCGTTGCTCCCCCACATAGACAATGACAGTATGTGACAGATGGCCATGTCCGCCATGGGGATGTAGCTCAGATGGTAGAGCGCTCGCTTAGCATGCGAGAGGTATGGGGATCGATACCCCACTTCTCCAGTCAGCACTTTTGTCTCTCTGCTCATGCCATCTACCCTTTGCTGGAAGTATCAAGCTTTCGAACACACACTGACACATGCTACCTCCCCTCCCTTCCTCCCCTACCATCACCTCACCTCTATGTGAGTCTAACCACAGCAGGCAAGCAATGAGCACCTCTATGAGCCTAACCACAGCAGGCAAGCAATGAGCACCTCTATGAGTCTAACCACAGCAGGCAAGCAATGAGCACCTCTATGAGTCTAACCACAGCAGGCAAGCAATGAGCACCTCTATGAGTCTAACCACAGCAGGCAAGCAATGAGCACCTCTATGAGTCTAACCACAGCAGGCAAGCAATGAGCACCTCTATGAGTCTAACCACAGCAGGCAAGCAATGAGCACCTCTATGAGTCTAACCACAGCAGGCAAGCAATGAGCACCTCTATGAGTCTAACCACAGCAGGCAAGCAATGAGCACCTCTATGAGTCTAACCACAGCAGGCAAGCAATGAGCACCTCTATGAGTCTAACCACAGCAGTGGCGTTTCTCTCGCTCGCCAGATCCAAAGGAGTCCTGCCCTTGTCTCACACACCCAGCCTTGTCTCACACACCCAGACACACTAAGGGTGCGATCCGGGATATTGTCACTTGGGAGAGCTCGAGGGCGTATTTCTACTCAAGGTTGTGTCGGAAGGTCGCGGAGGACGGGCTTGCGAGGCAGTTCATGCTGCAGGTGGACGGACTGGGGAAGATTGACGCGATCGCGGAGGTGAAGCGGTGGTACCTGGACGAGCAGAGGGTGAAGCGGGGGGAGAGTGAGGCGCTACGGACGAGCGAGGCTTTAGATGAAGGGGATTGGGTGGATGATAAGCAGTTTGTGGCGTGGGTGCAGGGCACAAGGAGGAATGCGGAGGGGTTCAGGAGGCGGGTGATGAGTCTGAGAGGCGGGAGGCTGGCAGCGGTGCTGACGAGGGAGAGGGACGCTGGGAGCATTGCGGACGGGCTGGCTCAGGCTGTGTCCAGCGTGCTGCAGGCGGTACGTGCTTCTTTTTATTATTATTATTATTGGCGTCAAAGAAATAAGCCGGCTCAAGCGTTGGCCAACACGTTGCAGCTGATGTGTGCACCTATGGCCAACCCATTGCTCAGGCTTTGGCTGGGCTCACCTTTAGTTTGTCGTCCGTGCATTCCCCAATCTCTTCCCTTGCCTGACTCTTGCTTTTCCTCTTTGATTCCATTATATTTGTTCTTGCCTTGTGTGATTCCTACCCTACAGCTCCCTGCAAGTGCGCGCAAGGACGCTGCTGCCAAGCTCGCCCAAGTGCTGGGCCAGCAGTGAGGCCCTCTCGGCCCTGGCTTGCCTTGCCTTCTTGCTCCTGCCTGACCTGACTGGTGTTTATGCCAAGCGTTGGGGCAGCTATGAGCAATGAGCCTATCCCCTCACTAGCCATCATGACAATGAATGTGCCACCACAAACCACCTTGCATCACCACAAACCACCTTGCATCCAGTCGGAATTTGCCTTGAATGGGGTCAGTCTGCCAGCAATAGAGCCGTGCAGTGCAGCTAGCATGCAGCCAGCATTCAGGCAACCAATTGTGGTGCGAGGAGACAGTGTCAAATCTGTTTGCCATTAGAGGAGGCAGTTTATCGCCTTCCTGCTCCCCCCACCTCTCTTCCCACCCCTCCACTCCCTCCCTTCCCTTCCCGAATATTCTTTTGATGCACTTGTACAAACCCGAATATTAGCAAGGGCAATGGTGTACTGACAGGTGCACAGCTGTGGCCAGACAAGTCATACTGAGGGAACACTGATATTCTTCCTTCAAGCACTTGCGTTGCGTTATGGGTAGTGCACATACAGTGGTTCCTCCTAGTCTGCTCAAGATGGTGTAGGATGGCTGAGTCACAGTTGATAGCAAATACAGCTACACTAGGTACCTTTTTCTAGCGATAAAGTAGTATGTAGCATTTTTATCAACTAAACTCCACTTCATGCACCGCAAGGTAAGTACAACATGAAGTGAACAGCCAGGCTATTCCCCTCATCAATAGCTCAGCTCAGCAGCATCAACCAGGCAGATCTACCCCATGGCATTTGCATAAGGCATTGTACTCTACAAAGGTACATCCAAGTTCCAACTACCATACCACCGCACACAGTATTGGGACAGAAGGCGCCCCAGCAGCAGAGTCTCACAGCCCAGCCCAGCTCAGCCCAGCCCAGCCAGCAATCCTGCTCAGGCCCTCTAGGTGACCACACATAAGATACTAGCCACTATACGCGCATGTTGGTTTGTGAGTCATTGGGCTTCATCCATCAATTCAGGGGGTTCTTTTAGGCATGACCCAGGCAGATTGGTATTAGTAGGTACAGTTTCTCCATTCAATTAGGTACAATCAAAATGTGTAACAAAAACAGAAAAATGTGTAATCAAAGTGTAACCGATTCAGGAATATCGGTTGGAGGATGCATTGGTTTGCAGAAAAATGAGCAACTTGCTTGATAAAAACGGACAAAAATATGCATCAAACAAAAACTTTACAACATAGGATGATACAACAAAGTGTAATCTACAGGCACGCACAAGAAACAGGACTATAAAGCATTTTACAGAAACCGAAAGGGTCCTCCTAATAGCTCTTTCACTTCTTTCCTCCCTTGCCACCCTTGCCACCCTTTCCTCCCTTTCCGCCCTTGCCGCCCTTCCCTCCCTTTCCACCCTTGCCACCTGTTGTATTGATCGCACTGCCTTTCACACTCTGAGTAGTGGCGACGCTTGAACTGCTTGCTCCACCCTGATCCCCGCCAGCACCCCCCTGATCCCCGCCAGCTCCCCCCTTCTGTCCGCCCTGCTGTCCACCGGATCCGCCTTGCTCTCCGCCCTGAGGCGGTCCGCCCTGTCCGCCCTGCTGTCCGCCCTGCTGTCCGCTTTGCTGCGGGGGTCCGCCCCGTCCGCCTTGCTGTCCGCCCTGCTGCGGCGGTCCGCCAGATCCGCCCTGCTGTCCGCTCTGCTGTCCGCCAGTAAAGCCTTGCGGCGGTCCCTGCTGTCCGCCCTGCTGTCCGCCCTGCTGTCCGCCTTGCTGTCCGCCCTGCTGTCCGCCCTGCTGTCCGCCAAATCCGCTCTGCTGTCCGCCCTGCTGTCCGCCCTGCTGTCCGCCCTGCTGCCCGCCCTGCTGCGGCGGTCCGCCACGTCCGCCTTGCTGTCCGCCCTGCTCTCCGCCCTGCTGACCTCCCTGCGGTGGTCCGCCCTGTCCGCCCTGCTGGCCGCCCTGCTGTCCGCCGGGTCCGCCCTGCTGGCCGCCGGGTCCGCCCTGCTGGCCGCCGGGTCCGCCCTGCTCTCCGCCGGGTCCGCCCTGCTGTCCGTCATTGCCGCCGCCGCCCAGGTCTCCGCCACTGCCGCCGCCCAGGTCTCCGCCACTGCCGCCGCCCAGGTCTCCGCCACTTCCGCCGCCCAGGTCTCCGCCACTGCCGCCGCCCAGGTCTCCGCCACTGCCGCCGCCCAAATCTCCGCCACTGCCGCCGCCCAAATCTCCGCCACTGCCGTCGCCCAAATCTCCGCCACTGCCGCCGCCCAAATCTCCGCCACTGCCGCCGCCCAAATCTCCGCCACTGCTGCCGCCCAAATCAACTTCATTGCCGTCGCCCAAATCAACAGTTATCAAAACTGGTCTGATTGCTGTTGCCTTCAGAAGTGATTGGGGTTTAAGAGCAAGACTGCGGCGCGGAGCGAGGGACCTCGCGGATCCTGCGCCGATGGAAAACACACGTTTATATATCGTAAATGTCGATTTGGATAGAATTCACGATAAGGGCGCAAGTTAATTAATGGAATTTAAAAAACAATTTGGCATTATAGAAAATGGAGGAAAAACGAAAGGAAATGACTGTGATTAGAGGACAGAAAAGTGTGCACCAAAGTGGGACACTCACCCGGCGTTACAAACGCCGACGCCGCTAAAAGCGCGAGCAGAAGAAGAGCCACCGCCGTGACTCGCATTTTGCAGGCCATCGTGCAGGAACGTTTTTCTCCTCTTCCGAGCACTTGCTAGGCGGGGACGAGCTCAAAAACAGTAAAAATGTGCGAGCGGCAAGAGCTCGAATTGCGAGAAGCTCGAGTGAGAGTACTGAGGAGGATGCCGATGCGAGTGACGGGTGCATGTTTTTATACTAATGTGGTGTGGTGGTGGGGAGGGGACGCAGCTCGAAAGCGTTTTCGCCTTGGGGGTGTGAAAGGATGCGATTAGTTTTGGCGGGATAATCTATTTCCCGCCAGGTCAAATCCGCGACTTGCGCCTCTAGCTCAGGTTTCGTAGGCGCATTTCAGGACAGGGAGATTCAACAATGTCCCTTTCGTGTTACCATCCCAACCTGCGACGCCAAAATGACTCACAAATGAGCTTCCGACTGATCCGCTGTGCTGCTTGGTTACGCCAAGGGGCTTCACAGAACCTGCGCTATCGTTGAAGCTCGTTGACCGCTTCCCTGGTAAAAAATTGGGGATTGAGAAAGCGGTTGACGCGGCAGGCCCGCAGATTGCGCAAGTGCCACAGCATGCCATGAACGTGAAACGCGGATAACCCAACTATAAACGGGCACTCAAAATCTTGGAATCACATGTTACACCTAGAGATAATCTGAGGCTATTAGTTTGTTAGTGACAATGCAATTTTATTTGCTATGTTGTGTGTTACATGTACCGGTTAATGCATTGGTTTTATCCAAAGAGCCTATAGTATAACATTGACATCAATTTTCTCAGCAGCAATAGCCATGCAGCTTCCCCGGGTAGCAAAACTTGCCCTCTCAGAAAAAAATGGTAATGGAATAGCGGTTGACGAGGCAAGCTGCGAAACGCGCAAGTGCGTTATACCCGCCTATAACCTGCACCTCCGGAATAGTATAACACCAATGTACCACCTCTTCCATGCGTAATAGATCGTGTGTTACCGGAGACCTCACCACAAACATCACGAAGCAAGCACAAAACCTAAGCATGGAAGATCTTCACCACTTCTCGAATAGGAGCTCGGCACACAGGGCAGCCCCAGCCCTTGGATCTAACCTCAGTGAGACACTCCACACACCCCGCCACATGCCCGCAAGGCACACACACTGCATGCGCTGCTGAATCCCAGCAAATCACACACTGACCCTCTCTAGTAGACGCCACTCCTGCTGCTGCTGCTGATGCTGGTGCCCCCCCTGTTGCTGCTACTCCTGCTCCCGCCTCTGCCTCTACCCCTGCCTCTGCTCCTGCTCCTGCCCCTGCTCCTGCGCCTGTCGCTGTACCTGCTGCCCTTCCTCCTGCTGCTCCGTGCCCTTGGCTCTGTGCCCTGGCGAGCTCTGCCTGCACCCTCTCAGGGTTGTAGCTCGGATGTAGCTCCGCTACAGATGCTGCTCCTCGCGAAGGAAGGCCAGCAGACGAGCCGCCTACAGACGAGATAGACGCACCAGGAATAGCTACCGACGCTGCAGCAGCAGGGGATGGGACGTTGGCAGGTGTATGGGGATGGGAGTTGGGTGGTTGCACCTGAGGGTTCATGGAAACAGGTGGGTGCTGATGGGTGATAGGTGGTTGAACCTGGTGGGTGATAGGTGGCTGAGCCTGAGGGTGGATGGGAGGGTGTGGGTTTCGCCCGGCGCTGCTGGGAGGGGAGAAGTGGATGAGAGGAGGGTCGAAGAAAGAAGCACGGTGGCCCGTGGTTCGCTGCCATGCCGTCGCAGCTGCAGCGGCTGTTGCTGACGTGAGAGCCCCTGCTGCTGTTGCAATTGCCTCCGCAGCCACTGCTGCTCTAGCATTGAAAGCCGGAGCTGCTCCTGCTGGTGCCGCTAGTGCTGCTGCTGCTGCTGAAGCTGGCTGGCCTGTCACGGCTGCTCCTGGCAAACTCCCTGCTCCCACTGATGCCCCTGATGTGGAAGCAGGACCATCCACAGGGGGTGCTGACGGTGGGCCGGAGGCAAAGAGCGACGAGACGGCTGCTGCTGCTCGGTTGAATGCCGGTGCCACAGATGAGAACTGATTCGCAATCTCGTCGCGCATTCTACCCCCTTCCACCCCTGCTGCAGCAGCAGTGCCTGCTGTACCTGCTGTACCTGCTGTGCCAGCTGAGCCAGCTGCTGAGCCAGAAGCAGCGCCAGAAGAAGTGCCGGCAGCACCAGAGGAAGAGGGGATGGGGGCAGCAGGTGGGGCAAAGGGGTGCCGGTCAGTAGAGGCTGAAACGGACCTCGAGGAGCGATGGGAAGCAGTGAATGCATCAGAGGCAGCAGCACCAACACCAGCAGCGGAAGAGGAAGATGAGGAGCGAGAGCGGCCGGATCTGGACTGAGGCTCGGAGGAGGAGCGGGTGAGAATAAACCCGTCTGCTCCCTCCTCCCCTCTGCTCATGCCCTGGGCAGCAGCAGCGGCACCAGAATGACCAGGGGCATCGGCTCGGGCAGAGCTGGCAGTGCTGGCCGTGTGCATCGACTCAGAGAGCGCCAGCTGGAACGCCGTGTCCTCGTCCACGTCATCCTGCCACGCGTGAACGTTCACCACGCCCCTGGAGTCAGATGACCCTGACGCCATCCCTCCTGCTCCTGCTGCTCCAGAACAACCCCCCAGACCGCTACATGGCACCAGAGGTGTTCAAGCACCAGGCATACGACCGCACTGAGCACTCCTCATATGCTCCGCGCTCTCCTTTCTCTGCCCCGTTGCTTTCCCCCCTCCCCACCGCTCTCCATCCCCCCCAGACCGCTACATGGCCCCAGAGGTGTTCAAGCACCAGGCGTACGACAGCACAGAGCGCACATCATATGCTCTTCACTCCCCCTCCTCCTCACCGCTCAATTACTCTTCTCTCCCCCTCCTCTGCTCGGTTGCTCTCTCCCTCCCTCCTCACTCCATTGGTCCCCCCAGACCGCTACATGGCCCCAGAGGTGTTCAAGCACCAGGCGTACGACCGCACTGTCGATGTCTACTCCTTCTCTGTTATCTTCTATGAGGTGAGATGCGATGGACGGCTGTGATCGATAGCCAAGAGAGATGGACGGCTGTGATCGCATCTGCTCCCTGGCCCCCTCCAGAGGTGTTCAAGCACCAGGCCTACAATCGCACTGTGGACGTCTACTCCTTCTCTGTCATCTTCTATGAGGTGAGATGTGATGGACGGCTGTGATCGATTGTCAGGTGAGATGTACGGCTGTGATTGACTGTGAAGTACGTTGTTAGTGCGGTTTTCTCAAGACCAGTTGTGATTCAATAAGGACATAGTCTCTGGTGTGCTGCTTCCCCTTCCTCCTGCTGACCCCCCCTCCATTCCCCACGCCTTCCCCTTCCCCATCCCTCCCTCCTCCCCTTGCCTCCTCCCCTTCCGTCCTCCTGATTCCTTTCTCAGGTGTTTGAGGGGCTTCCACCCTTTGCCAAGACAATGACGCAACAGGGGGTGGCATGGAAGGTGGCAATGGAGGGCATCCGGCCGCCACTAGAAGCAGCATGTATCCTCTATGCCTTTGCCCCCACTCCTCTTCTCCCAATCCCCTCTTTCCCCTCTCCTCTCCCCTCCGCCCCTTTAGATGTTTGAGGGCCTACCGCCCATTGCCAAGACCATGACGCCAGAGGGGGTGGCATGGAAGGTGGGGATGGAGGGCATCAAACCCCCACTCTACGGAGCACCTATCCTCTCTGCCTCTCTCTCTGTCTTCCCTCCGCTCTCCTCTTCTCCTCCCCTCCAACCCCCCAGATGTTTGAGGGCCTATCGCCCTTTGCCAAGACCATGACGCCAGAGGGGGTGGCATGGAAGGTGGCAATGGAAGGCATCAGGCCGCCCTTCAAATCCAAGGCATACCCCGAGGGGGTTAAAGAGTGAGTCACAGTGTTGTTTTGCCGTGAGTCCTGGGTTTCAGGGTTCTGGGTTCAAGGTTTTGATGGTTCTGGGTGGCATGGAAGGTGGCAATGGAGGGCATCAGGCCGCCCTTCAAATCCAAGGCATACCCCGAGGGGGTTAAAGAGTGAGTCACAGTGTCAGGTAGTGTGTCAGGTGCTGAATCAGGTATTAGGTCAAGTGGTGAGTCAGGTATTTGTCAGGTGCTGAGTCATATGCTGCTTCAGGTCCTAGCCAGGTGCTGTGTCAGCAACTCTTTCAGGTGCTGTGCCAGGTGCTATAACAGGTTCTGTGTCTGGTGCTGTCCCATGATTGCAGGGGTTTTCGAGTTTCGGGTTTCGGGCTTTGGGTTTTCGAGTGTTAGGTTGTTCAAGTTATGTTCTGAAACGTTTCTTTACTGTTTATGGCAGTTGCAGGGCCTTTAACAGTTGTAGAAATTGTTACTGGGTTCCCACGTCTCTGCTTCCTTCTCCCTCCACTCCACCGTCACTCCGTCTCTCCCTCAGTCCATCTCTCCCTCTCTCCCTCGCTTTCCCTCTCCCCCTCACTCCCTCTCTCCCTCCCTAGTTTGATATCCCGGCGTTGGGCGGCTGACCCCACCTCTCGCCCATCCTTCATGGAAGTGATTGAGGTGCTCGAGGGGGTGGAGAAGACGCTCCTGCTCTCCCACATCTCTCCCTATCCCCCTCTATCCCTTTCTCTCCCTCGCCCCACAGTTTGATATCCCGGTGTTGGGCGGCTGACCCCACCTCTCGCCCATCCTTCATGGAAGTGATTGAGGTGCTCGAGGGGGTGGAGAAGGCGCTGCTGCTGCAGGCTCAGGCA